GAAATTTTTACTTTCTTAAAATATAAAATTAACAAAAATTAAAGTTGACGTCTCATCAGTTCTCCCCAGATTCTCCTTCCTCCCTTCCCAGAGGTGGCCACTAAGACAATTTCTCAAATTATCCCTCCAATCCTCATTTTCATAATTTTATCTTATAGCTCCATAGAAGCATAAACAATAGACAGTATTTTATTTTTCATATTTGGAATCATATTGGATATATTCTATACCTTGCTTTTATTCAGACCACATAAGTTGCTGAATTTAAACATATACTGTGTATAATATGTATTGCTAACTTATTTTAACCACTTTATGATATTTCAACCTACAAATATTCAATATTTTATCTGCACACAGATTGACATCATATTGTTTCCAGTTTTTCAGTACTGAAAATAATATAGTCAGTCCTTAGCATCCACTGGGGGTTGGTCGCAGGACCCCCAAGGATACCAAAATCCAAGGATGCTCAAGTACCTTATACAAAATGACATAGTACTTGCAAATAAGCCATGTACAGCCTCCCATATACTTTAAATCATCTCTAGATTGTTTATAATACCAAATACAATGTAAATGCTACGTATATAGTTTTTAAACTGTATTGTTTTTTATTTGTCTTATTTGTATTGCTACAGTTACTTTTTTTTCCAGAGTATTTTCCATCCCTAGTTGTTTTAACCCCTAGATGCAGAATCCATGGATACAGAGGGCCGACTGTGCTGTCACACTGTTATGATTTCCTCTAATTTGGTTCTGGGCTCTCACTCTGGAAAGCGGTTATCAACTCAAGCCCTGCTGTGACAGGGCTCCTTAGGTGGTTGTGGCTGTTGACACAGTCTGACAATTAAGTTCTTGAACTTGCTACAGTGCGCTTATGTTGACAGCACTGTGCAAAACACTCAGTAAGGTTTCATGACCTTGTTATATCAGGGTCTCACAACTGTGTTCGTGTTGATGTGTGGCAGCATCTTGCTGAGTGGCGTTCACTATTGTTGCGTGTTTTTGTGTGAATGTCAGAGAATGTCAGAACTTGAATTAGAGCAAAAAACACACAGTGAATTTTGTATTAAACTTGACAAGAGTGTAAGTGAAATCAAGGACATGTTAGTCCAAGTTTATGGGGATAATACAATGAAGAAAACAGCAGGGTACAAATGGATTAAACATTTTTCTGAGGGGAGAGAAAGTGTCATTGATGAAGAGAGGTCAGGACAGCTAGTAACGAGCAGAACTGATGAAAGTATTGCAAAATTTCTTCAAATTGTACATCAAAATAATTGGTAGACTGTGAAGAGCATAGCAGACTAAATAAACATTGAGAGAGAAACAGGAAAATCTGAACTGAAAATCTTGGCACAAGAAAGGTGTGTGCAAAAATGGTCCTAGAGGAGCTCTTGCATCACAACAATGCACCAACTCCCATAGCACTGTCTATGAGGGAGTTTTTAGCCAGTAAACAAATAACTGTATTGTCACATCCTCCTTACTCACCTGATCTGGCCCCCAATGACTTTTTTCTTTACCTGAAGCTAAGGGAAATATTGAAAGGAAAGACATTTTGATGATATTCAAGACATCAAGGGTAATACGACAACAGCTCTGATGACCATTTCAGAAAAAAAAGTTCCAAAGTTGCTTTGACAGGTGGACTAGGTACTGGTATTGGTGCATAGATTCCCAAGGGGAATACTTTGACAATGACCGTAGTGATATTCAGCAATGAGTTATGTAGCGCATTTTGTAGGATTAGTTCACAAACATAATTTTCAGAACTCATACAGTGTGTCTTTTATGGGACACTTCTTTTTCCTGGTAGATGGCCTAATACTTAGGTGTCCAACACATGATCAATGTTTCTCTCGCAATAAACTTGTTTATATTGGCCAACACCCTTGTGGCTCTTGTCTAACCAGTGTCCAGTTTATCCTATAAGATAGCCACTTTCTAGGAGTGCCCTGACCTGAAAAAACTGTTAGGTCTGAATGTGTTGTTCAGGTGAGACACAGAGGAGGCAACACAACAAAATCCATGAAAAAGCAGAAGCATTTTATTACTTACAGATCCCAGAAAAGAAAAGGCAGCAGGCCTCGCAGGGTCAATAGGAAGAGGGGAACACTTATGTTCAACAAACGGATAGGGAGTGGGGAAGAGAGAAAGAGAGAAACAGGGACAGAGAGACAGAGATGGAGAGAGACAGAGAGGGCCAAAGCCTTTGTTGGGATCCAGGGTGTTACCCAGGAAGGTTCCCCATGGGGAGTTCTAATTGGTGGATTTACAGCAAGCAAGCCTGAGTTCCATGGAGTCACACTGTGACTGAGAGATGGCCACTGTGGCATATGTGCACATCCACCACATGGGGTGTGGTGGTCTGTAGGGTGAGTCAAGTAGGTTGGATCTAGCTGTCCCATAGAGAAGTAGTCACCAGGAGACAGTTGTATGAGGCAGACACCTGGATCGACCACAGTGAGGACTGGGAAGAGGCAGAGGTAGCAATGGTGTCAAGAGTGACTAAGCCCTGCTTCTGGTATGAGAAAGTTAAACTTATATTCAAATTGATGCCAAGGCAACATAAAATTATAGAATTTTACTGTACACACACATCTTTGTATATGTAGAGAATCAGAATTACTGCTGCAGGACAGCAACATTCAAAATCATTAATAATTCCTATGAAGGTAAGTTAATACACTTGGGAATTGTTATTAAAGTATATTTTAATAGGAATTGTTCAAGTAATGATTTTTGACTTACATATTATAATTAAGATTGTAAAAATTAATGCCAAAAAAACCAAATTGTGCATATGAGAGTAAATATAAGTGGGTTTTTTGAGATCGTCTATTTCTAATCATTTACAATGTAAATCTTCTCCATGGTTATGAATGATTGAGAGTTACCTTCTCTGCAATAATATTCCAGATATGTACATGTTCAAGAACTTCCAAGCATATTCTGAGTGGATTTTCTTTACAACATCGAAAACGCTAACTTTCCTTAATGGAGAAGATGCAAATATCAATCCAAAGTTGTGGGTTTTCTTAAGTGGGTTTTAAGTGGATCAGAATGCCAATTTCAGAAATGAAATTATTCTGAAACGATGACAGCATTTAAAGAAATGCATACGAGCCATTTATTCAGAGAATTTTTACTAAAAACAGAAGAACCATACCTTCTAAAAAATTTTATATTTGTTATTTGCTTTAGCAAATATGACAACCTATAAGACATGGTAGAGCTAAAACAAATAAAAATACAAATTATATACTTTGTTGGCTGGGCACAGTGGCTTATGCCTGTAATCTCAGCACTTTGGGAGCCTGAAGTTGGAGGATTAGCTTGAACCCAGGAATTCGAGACCAGCCTCATCAACATAGTGAGGACACGTCTCTTCAAAAAAAAAAAAAGGAATCAGTGCTGATTCTCTTGATGGAGAAAAAAAATTATATACTTCATGCAAAGCAAATATATAACAAGGAAAGTAAAAGGTAAATTTCTTTGAAAATACACATTATACACTCAAATAATACAAATTTTGTTTTCCACATGAACACTTTCCTGGTGCTTTCATCTCTCCCATCCCATTCCCAAACAAAAGTAACTCCTTCCTCTTTCCTCTTACAAGTTATGAATATTTGGGGGATGTTTTATGATATGGTTATCTTTTAGCATCAATCACAGCTTTTTTGTTTACTTACATCATCCCTGCTAGACTTACCCTATTTCATCTTTAATTCCTCCAAGGTCATCACACATTGCCTGGCTGAAAGCTCAATATTTGTTGGACTGTATTAAGAAGGTATTCCTTCTAGCCTTGGCCTTTTTCTATTCTGGACAACCAAAAGCTATACTCTCTCAAATGAATTTTTAAAATTCTAACACCAAATCATCTGAATGCTTCTCACCAATGGCTACTTGAAGATACTTCAATCATAAATTATTAACTTTTCTTATCAGTCAGACAACCCTGAGGTCTAAATTTCACATGGATCTAGGTCAAGTGTCTGCTACTGAAACCGTTACAGAAAGCTGGTGGTTGTTAAAAGAATGATTATCCAATCCACAAATTGGGAGGCAGGTTCTTTTCTTCTCTTCCCCGCTTTTCTGCCACTGACTTTATGATTAGTTTACTGCAAAGCTATCATTCTCCTAAGGGGTGGACAGAACTAACCACAAAAGGAAAGCTGTTACATGTTAGCAGCTCTGAGAGGCAAAAGTAAAAATACTTGGTGAAAGCAAAAGATTCAGAATCACTGTATAAAGTGAGATGTGAGATTTTTGTAGCATCTATAGATTTTCTTTAGTCCACTGTATAGATAAATTATAATTATTTAGGCAGAATGCAAATGTTGACATATATTCAAACAAATAAAGCTTGTTTCTTTTTTTTTTTTTGAGTTGGAGTCTCACTCTGTTGCTTGTTTCTTACGCTATTAAATAGATATGAACAGTCATTCACTCAACAGATATTGCTTTTGTATCTCTTGTGCGCGTTTTCTCTGTCTTTAACAAGATGGTAACTGAGTTAAGGAAGAAAGACAGACAAACTTGCAAAGCCAAATAATAATATGTAACAATGGTAAGAAAGTTGCTACAAGAAAGGAAAAATATTTAGCAAAGATTTTGATCTATGTCAGTCCCAATATACTAATAATCAATTATTATATTATCATATCATTAGTCACTATCATTAATTAAGCAACACATTAAGTTTTACCTAGAAGGGCTATTTCTATCCCCTTTTTACACATAGCAATTTGTAGTAGAGATAGGTTTCACACCCAAACCTATCTGATCAAGATCCAAACTCTTGCCATTAACCTATAGGTAGTTATTTTTCTAAATTTTTGATCCAGACAACTCTATATCTTCTGGTAATTGATAGTTTAATGCTAATGCAGACAATATCTATTAGTTTATTTCCATTGTGTTTTACATTTATATGGAATATTGACCTTTTAATTGTGTTTATAAGAATTATTTTTCTCTTCATATAGGGTTGTGATACACAGATGATTTATGACATGTTGCTAAGATTGAAATCCACTCTTTATTTACCTGGTGACTTTGTCTGCAAAAAGGTGAGTGCCTGATATTTTTCAAATGTGCAACTAATAAATGTACTGGAGGATTTCAGATACAGGTTCAGACCATTATTTAAACAAAATTTGTCCAGGGCAAATTCCATAGTATAGAAATAATTATGATATACAGCGCTGTAAAACAATAATGTGTTCTCAGAGTTTAAAATGGAACAAGACAATATAGACTTCATTACTTATATTACAGAACAGAATTATGGGTAGTCTGAAAAGCTGCTTTGTAAAAATGTAAATTATCAATCGTCACACCCCATTAATTCTGAATACTTAAAGTGGAGGAAAAAGTTACAGAAGTGATAGGTGGTTCTGCCCTTTTTATGTCTTTGGCAAAGCATCAGTTACCTCCATTTTGCTCACCCAAGTAGTGAATAATCAATGCCACATTTTTTAAAACTTTCCTATGCTTTTTATGATTACAAAAGTAATACACATTTATTATATTTAAAATGGAAAACACATAAAACTACAGACATAAATTTCTCCATCCAGAAATAACCACTATTAATATATTTTGGCCTGTTTATACATATTGTTGGATAGAGTTTGTTGTATAAAATTGCTATCAAACTATCATGTGTTTTTAAACTTGTTTTGTCATGAACAATATATCATATGAACATTTTGCATATTATTAAGTAATCTACAACATGATTTTTTAAAGCGGCATGGTATTCTAGTCTTTGGATATATAATCAATTTTCAAATGTAAATAACTCTAAAATGAACATCCTCTTGGATAAATATTTTTGCACATCTCTAATCAGTAACTTGAGAGGGAAGAAAAAGAACAATGACCCTGGGTTTTATATTTTGGACACTAAATAAATGGAAACTCAATAATCAAAATTTAAAAATAGAAGAAAATGAGTAGTAAAAAAAAAAAAAAAAGGAGATGATCCAAGATGGTAATGAATTTACAAGTGAGTGCAAATGAGAAACACTTTCATCATTCCAAAATAATGTGTTAAGTGCTGTGGTCAAAGTAAGCACAAGTTGTAGGACATGAAGGGACACTAGTCCCTCTTGGATACAGGCAGGATTTACTAGAGAAAATAATGTCTGAGCTAAGTCTTGAAAAATGAATTGAAGAAAACCAAGTGAAAGAGGAAATGGGAGTTCTGGATAGAGCAAAGAAGTAGCATGAGCTAAGGCAAAAAAGAAGGCACTGTGTCTGCAGAGGAAGTGCTAAGAACTACAGTAAGACAAATGGTAGACCATTTTAGTACAATTTCTTTAATAAAACTCAATATCACTTGATATTGTGAATGGAAACTGTGCTGAATACCAAGGAAAAACAAAAATGGTTCTTGTCCTCCAGAGGCCTGTGTCTAGTGCCCTGGTATTCAATTTACATCAGCATTGCAGGAATGTGGAAACCTGGGCTCCACCACATTTCGGTATTTTTTAAAAAGCTCTCATGATTCTAAAGTGCACCAAAATTGAGAACCACTGCCCTTTGGCTTGTATCGCCCATTTAAAAAATGATATCATATCACCAATCTCCCTATCTTTAACTTGGATTGATTTGTGTATGATTGTGCATTGGAATGACATGACCTTAATGCACCAAAATGACCTTTCAATTTGTGCCAATAGTAGCAGAGATAGAAAATTGAGGTAACTTATATAAACTTTGTCATCCGTGCCACTAAGCAGTGCAAATTTGTTTAACATAGTATAAAATGCAGAGTAGATGCAGCCTCCTCAATTCTTATTTCTTCTTCACATTGCATTCATCACTCAATAACAAAAATGGACCAGTGGAGATAAATAAGGCAAGAAAAGGAATAAGTAGGGGGAAGAGTAGAAATGAGAAGACACAGACGGGCCCGTGGCTCAGCCTGTAGTGCCAGCACTTTGGGAGGCCGAGGTGAGTGGGTAGCGTGCGCCTGTAGTTCCAGCTACTTGGAAGGCTGAGGCGGAAGGATCACCGGAGCCCAGCAGGTCGAGGCTGCGGTGGCCAGGAGCGGCCACTGCACTCCAGTCTGGGTGACGGAGTGAGACTCCAACTCAAAAAAAAAAAGAAAAGAAAAGAAATGAGAAGACACTAGAACTAAAAGTCACATTTCTTTGTTTCTGTTTTTAAGAGGGGATTTACATGACAGTACATATTGGCAGAGAAGAAAGGCTGTTATTCGACCAGACATCAGATGGCTGAATTCAGCTTGGTTTTTGCTTATAATATTTTCACAAAATATTGTAGAAAAGAGGAGGGGGGGAATGATGTTCAATTTGAGGTTACCTAAATAATTGAAGAAATGGCAGTGTTTGGGATTGAGTTTGGTGACCTAATTCTCAGGATGATTCCTAGACTTACTAAGTGGATAGCTTGGGCTGCTTGAAAGGTGTTGGAAATTTTCTCAGGACACTCTATGTCAATGTCCAATTCACCTAGAGTTCTTGCTAAAGCATGGATTTCTGGGACTTCATTCCCAAAGATTCTAACCCATATTTCTACAGTGAGGATTCTCAATGATCTGAGAATTTACACCTTTAAAGAAACTCCTGAGTGATGCTGATGCCACTAATCCAGGAACCATGCTTTGTGTAGCACTGCTCTTATTTGATGGGGTGCACTTGAGTATCATAATGCTCCTACTGCCTTGGATATAGCCTCTTACACAGGAACCCCGAATTTTTGAAGTGCCCTCTCTCTAAGGGTTACCTCGCTCTACATGAAGCTCTTGTTTTTCTATACTTTCTCCTAATTAATCCAGACACCAACCACAAGAGCCTGGTTCAATCTTATTTTACACATGCTGTCAGCCCTTATTCTCTGAGGAATGTCTACTTCATTTGAATGCTAATTAAACTTGCAGAAAAGGCTTAAATTAGCCTAGAAATATGCAAGAAATAGTGGAAGTTTTGGTTCGTTGATTATGCCAGATCTCCTTGGAAAATTATTGAAATGATCATTAAAAAATAATTAAAATAGCTGAACTACATTTAAGTGCCCATTATGTACTTCTACCTCCAGTCAGTTGTAATAACTGCCTTTGAAAAATCATTCCAGTTCCTTGAAAATTACTTCATGCAAATAATAAGGACTATGACCCTGTCCTAATCATTATTTCCTGGAGTAACTCTTGGAAAACTAATTTTCAGGCATTTTGTCTTATTCTTAAAATAATTCATAGCTATTTTATTGGTTTTTAAAAGATCAGTCTTGATATGGGAGTCTTCATTAGATATGATCTATCTGCATGTCTTATATAGAGTCAGGTGACATTGGTGCTGCTAGTTCTAGTGCTGTCACTTGCCAGTCTTGTAACTTTGCTCAAGGCACATAATTTTGTAGGCTTCTACTACCGATTTTTAAATAAGAGGAATGATATCTTTCCTATTTGACTTCGGTGGGATTTTTGCAAGAATTAAATGAGTTAATATCTATGAAATGCTTTGCAGTTATAAAGCAGCACATTCTGTAGAACAAATACATAAATTAAAATAAGGAGCTATGTAAATATCAGATATTATTATGATCTTTAAAGTACTATACAAGGACAAGATATTGTTATTAGCATTGACAGTATGTAAATATAAGATTCATCTATACTGGAATTTCTACTTTGACCTGTTTTTGAGTATAAATATATGATTAATATTTTGCACAATTCCCAACTTAAACATACTTCTTATATTGCTCAGTTAGGAGATGTGGCACTATGCGTCCTTTTGCTTCTAACTGTTGAGTCATGGAACTTTGGCTAATCCACTAACCCAATGTATGCCTTTGTTTTTCTTTCTGTAGTACTTATTCTACCTTCCTTATAAGAGTAAAGGAGATATAAAAAGAGAATTTCAATTTTCTGGATGTTAATGAAGAGGCAGAGTCTGATAACTTTAAACTCAACCTGACAATTATAAAGCAACCATAATTTATATTGAGGAAAATAAATCTAGGTATTTAAGGACTTCAACATTTCCCAGAAAACAGTCAAATTATATTTTCCTCATTCATAGACAAGTGCCTACTATATGCAAGTTTCTGCTCAGCACTAGAACAAGCTACACATGTCAGCTATCTTAGACAGAACATAAACTACAATCAATATTGCTTAATCTTGAGTTGATTTTAGAGTATTCTAATTATTTCAAAGTATAGTTAATTTTTTTTTTGATAGCTCAGGTTGAACAAGGTACTTCTCATTCAGACATATAGGTACTACTCTCCAAATAGTTTGCCTAGTATTATGCAAATAAGGCTATTTAGCATTTAACAGTCTTTTTTGACCTAAACACTATTTAAAACTCTTGCAAGATATGTATTCTTTTTGAAAACTGGAGTGAGAAGATGTGTTGCAAGGTCTCCACAACCACCCACGGGATTTGGTGATTTATTTGTAAGGACTCATGTAATTCAACATAAAGTTATAGTTATGGCTTAAGATTTATTACAACAATAGATAAAATGAAGAAATAGGAAGAACACGATCAATATGGGAGAAGACTAGAGAAATTAAGCACAGGCTTCCTAGGTCCTGTTTCTGTGAGGGTCACATGGATACATTTTTCTCTCCAGTGGACTACACAGACATGAGCAAAATATCTCCACCCTGAGAAACCCATCTGAGTTTTGGGTCCAGAACTCTCAAATGAGGCAGATCATGTAGCAGCATGACCAGACATGCTTCAGACTTCAAACTAGATACCGGGTACATATTATAAATGCTTGTGTTCATATTAAACAATGCTGATAGCCTGGTACATCCTGCCACACTGCCCCAAGCATATAGAATAATGTTATAGGCACTGTTAACCAGTAGCCTTGTGAACATTTCAGGAGTTTAATTCTCAGGACTTGAACAAGGGTCATTGACCTGGCTCCAAGAGTCCCCCAAGATAAGCAAGAACTGAGTAAAACAACCTGCTGCATTAACATTTCCTTTCAATATGGAATGAGAATAATAGCATAAAGCTCTCCTATGGCCCAGTTTCCAAAAGCAGACTTCAATGCCATAGTCAGGAAAATAGAATTGACCTTTGAATGATTGCAGCCTATGCTTTTTTGATAGACTAAGCACATTCTTCAGAGTGTAGCAGTGGTCACCAAGCAATGTGCTAACTAAAATATCTTCACATGTCCTGTGGTGGCATACAGTGCTCACATGCTGAGAAGTATCTTCTTAATCATTCTCTTTCACATGATACATCCAACAAATGTCTGTAACTACCTCAGGTCTCATTGATATCCCTTGTTTGCTTCATGTATATTTACTCCTCTAGTAGAGTTTATAGTTCTTCATTTAGGACATAATTGTCAAGAAAAAAGTGACTATCGTTCATTTTTATATTTGGTATACAGGGAGAAATTGGCAAGGAAATGTATATAATCAAACAAGGAGAAGTGCAAGTTCTTGGAGGCCGTGATGGTATTCAAGTTCTGGTTACTCTGAAAGCTGGGGCAGTGTTTGGAGAAATCAGGTACTTAAAAGATACCATATTAATACTGAAGTTCATCAATTGTCATAAAAGAAAAATCTTGGGCGATAAAATAGGTAAGGTTTCTGTTCAAATTTATCAATGGTTTGATTGTGCTGAGAGCATTGGTAAAATAAGAATTTTGACATTTCTATTCACTCCTTTTCTCTTCTTCCAAAAGACTTGAGGAAAGGGACTGAGTCATTCAACTCTTTAGTTTCAGACCTAGATTAGTGCCTGGAATTAGGTAGATGCTCAATATATGTTGAATTAGTATGCAAATGAATGAATTAATAATGAGAGAAAAGGTTGAGAGAGTTGGTTGTTGTCAGATTGTTGGAAGACTTGAACGCCTTGCTAACATGGGGATCTTGAGCAGGCTGGTGATATAATCATAGCTGTCTGACTAAATTGCTTAAGGTTAAGTCCGAGTTTGACCACATCTTAAGCTTTGTTGCTCTGTTACTTCACCTCTCTGTTCCTCAGTTTCCTCATTTTAATACTCAGGATAATAATTGTACATATCTTAGAGGGTTGGTAAGTGAGTCAATTCATTAAAAGCACTTAGAACAGTGTCCGGCATCTATTAAGAGGTCAGTAAATATTAACTATTGTTACTATTACTTTTTATTGGTCAGGAGTTTATTCTAGAACAAGTCCCCAAGAGCAAAAATATAGACAGCAAATTTAAGCATTTTGTGGGTTACACACTTCCATATGCATTGTCACCAGCCTGGGCAACATAGCAAAACCTCATCTCTACAAAAAAATTCAAAAATTAGCCAAGTATGGTGGTACACGCCTGTAGTTCCAGTTACTCAGAAGGCTGACATGGAAAGGTTTCCTAAGCTCAGGAGGTCAAGGCTGTGGTAAGCCATGATCATTGCACTGCACTCCAGCCTGGGCAACAGAGTGAGACCCCAACTCAAAAATATATGTGTGTGTGTATTTATATTCATTATTCAACCAAAATGTTCCTTGAGTGCCTCATGCATGCTAGATTGCCAGATATTGCTCTAAATTCTGAGAAGACAGTAAAAACAGTAAACAAGGTATTGCCCTTCACAGAGCTCACAGTCTAGTTGGGGGGAAACTGGCAATAAATGGTTAAACAATTAACCAGACAAGACATATGCACATTGTGATAACTGTCGTGAAAAAAAAAAGTTAGAAACTGACAGAGGATGCTTCTTAGATTTAGTGGTCAGGGACCACTTTTCCAGACGATATTTGACCTGAGACTTGAAAGAGTAAATGGAGCAGCCATTCAGAAATGGGGGAAGAGTTTCTCAGATGGTAGAATAGCAAAAGCAAAGGAAGCAAGCTTGTTTAGTCAAGGGACAGAATGGTGAGAATGGGCTGGAGTACAGTGAACAGGGTCACTGTGAGGAGATGAAGCCAAAGGGGTGAGCAAAGGTCAGATTATACACAGTCTGTTAGGCCATGATAAAGAATTTGTGTTTTATTCTAAATATGAATGGATATCAATAGAGGGTTTTGGCAAAAGAATCACACAATCTGAATTATGATTTTAGAAGACCATCCCAATAGCTATGTGGAAAAGACACAATAGAGAAGCAGGAATGAAACAGAGGAGACCAATTGGAAGTCAGCTGTAGTGATTCAAGTGAAAGATGATGGTGTCTGGAATGAGGATGCTGGCTTTTCAGGCAGAGAGGAGAATATACTGTCAGGCAGTTACAAATATATTCATTTCACAATTGAGAAAATTACTATTCCAAGGTTCCAAGTACTGTATCTTGCCCAGAATACCATAGCTAATGGATGATAGGGACAACATTCAAACCTAAATTTCTGTGGATCAGGATCCAGTGATCTTTCCACCACAACACAGAAGAAAGATGTTCATCCAGTCTCTGATTTCACAACTGCTAAGAAGTTATCTTCATGTTCCAGAGATAGGGATTATTTCAGATGATTTCATAATAGCATAAAGAGGAGGTTTTTTTTAGGATGCTAAAGCATCCTTTTTTCTCTGCTAATAATGTGGCTTCTCTTTTTTATTTTTCCTCTTTGCTTAACAACTGATTGTTTTAAGGTGATCCTTTAAGAGTCGTGCACTGGGGCAGTGGTGGAAACACTTCTTAGAGTGTTCAAGAACCTGAGTTCTATGTCTATTTTCTATCACTTCTTTACTGGGAATCCTTGCAAAAGTGATTTAATGTTTTGTGACCTAATAATCACTGTAATCCTCAAGGTCATAAAACACGAAACAGTCTAATCTGAAACATTGCAAAAATTAATTAGCTGACCTCTTCCAGGGGTTGAGTACTCCCTGAAGAATAAAGCTTGATAAATACAAGTATGTTAATTGCTGATATTATCATCACAGGAGAAAATACCCTAGAAATAGAATCCAGGTGCTACTAAGTTGCAACTAAAAGTAATCCTAGATTCCTGACAGTAGTTTCTCAAATAAATCTATTATCCATTTGGTTTCTAAGACCAAATTGAAACCAGTAGAGCAGACAAGCTCTAAACTTGCTCAATAACCTGACTGATTCAAGCAAAAGGGATCTTTTTGCCTTGATTCTCTCCTTGGCTATGGCTGAGGAGGAACAGGATGCATCTGCCTCTTTCCAGATACCCACAGGCTTCACAGGCCCACAGCTGTCATACATCCCTGAAGCTCTAGTCATTTATTCCAGAGATGGAAGCACGCCTGCCAAACACCCAGATACTGGAAAGATCTAGTAGTAGTGTTTACTACTAAAAAATTCGGTGACCTTTGCTAAAATGAGCTAAATCCAACACTATCATGTAGCTGTTTAAAGAGAGTTCTTTTTTTCTTAGGAAAAAAAATAAGAAAGAAAAAAACTGAGGGCTTTCAAGGACATTATATATTAATCCAAAAGAGCAAAGCCCTGACTAAAATATAGATTTACAGCTTGTCATGGAGAAAACTCAGACCACATTTCCAATTAACATCTGAGGAGTTCAGACAGCCCATTTTTAAAAGAGACCCAGGGTCTGCCAAGGGAGAGCCTCGTGATGGTTCTGACTCCAATCATTTTCCTTACATGTTCATTTAGTGCCAAGCCTTATTCACTGAATCTATTTAACCACTTCCTATCTGCCTTCTGTATCTGCTAAAATGTTGTCTTTCTTGAAATACATCTGAATTTTTACTCTTGTGTTGTCATTATGATTTCCATAGAATTCTCTAGTGGCTTCATCTCTCTTTGGGATATCCTCTCCCTGGAAAATTCCTACTCATCCTTCAAATGTCACCTTTCTGAAGCCATCTAGATGTTCTCTGCACTGTGTTACCATAGTATTTCATTTGTGCCTTTATCACAGTAGTTACTACTGATTGATAATTATGCTGTTCAGTCAGGTCTTTCCAACACACTGAGCTATTAAAATGTAAGAACTAGAGCTTATTCATCTTTATATAAAAACAGCTATATAAATACTGTACAATAAATGATGGTTATTATTTATATCCTCCCTCTATTCAAAAACAATTTTCAGCAGCTATTCAGCAATGTTTAATTAAATACATAGTTCATTGTGATTTGATAGAAACCCAATAAAATTATATTTGGGACCCCTTACAGCATAATATGAAGTGCCCCAGAGAAGGCCATGTGCTCCTTCTTTGCCAGACATAGTGCCAGTCATGAAGGTACAAAGGTGCACAAGAAATAATTGCTTCCCTCAAGGCTCTCAGAAACAAGTGAGATGAGTAAATTGAAGACTTCAATAAAAGGTGATTAAATGAATGGACTGCATTCAAGGAGGAGAGTATATCCAGGGTGCTGTGGAGTACAAAGGCTTCACAAGGACCAATGCATTCTTTGGATTTGGCAATCACTTGAGAGTATTTAGGAAGTAAAGACAGAAGCTTCAGAACTCCTCAAACAATGTAAGGAGACAATGATGTGTGCGCACAGGTCAGTCCTGATAGCCCCACCATAGGTATGTTTAAGGGTTATTGACATGATGCCTGTGGTGGGTTGAATGGTAGCCCCCACAAAGATATGTCCCCATTCTAACCCTAAAAATCTGTGAGTGTGACCATTTCAAATTTGGAAAAAGGATCACTGCAGACATAATTAAGTTAAGGATTTCAAGATGAGATCATCCTGATTATCTGACTAGGCCCCAAATCTAATGACAAATATCCTTTATAAAAGATAGAAGAGGAAAAGGCTATGCAAAGACTAAGACAGAAATTTGAGTAATGCTGCCACAGCCAAGGACAACCAGGAGCCACCAGCAGCTAGAAGAGGAAGAAAAGTGTTTTCACTAGAGTAGAAGAACAGCCCTGCTGACACCTTCATTTTGGACTTCTGGCCTCCAGGCCTGTGACAGAACAAATTTCTGTGGTTGTAGGTCACTAGTTTTTTGATAATTTGTTACAATAGCTCTAGGTAATGGACATAATATCAAATTATTTAAATTGCTAACTTTTGAAATTTTACTGGAGATAAAAAAGAAGTGTTTGATACAGTCTTTTACTTCACCCAGATGGCCAGTCTACCCTCCAAAACCTGTCAATCTCACCTCCTAAGTGTCTCAAATGTATCTTAATATTTTCCACTGTCATCACATTAGTGCAAACCATGTCCATCTCTCACTGGACAATGGCAGGGGTCTACTGCAGGTCACCCACACCAAAAACCACATCCTCCACAATCCAGTTTCCACTCTGCAGCCAGAGAGGTCTTTTGGAAACACAGAGCTGATCATATCATAGCCCTTCCACTGAAAACTATTCAATGCTTTTACACTGTTCTTAGGAATAAGAACAGGGTTCTTTTCGTGACCTACAAGATCCTACAGAATCTAGTCCCTGCTGACCTCTCTTCTTCAGGTTGCACCCGAATCCTCTTTCTCCCTTTAATCCAGACAGCTAACTCTCTTTCACTTCCTTGAATATGCCACTCTCCATTCAACCATTGTGAGTTTTCTGCACATGCTGCTACCTCTGCCCAGATGCTTTTTCCAGCCCTTTACCTAGATCTCAATTTTCTTCA